GCGATGCTTGCAAAACGATCGGCCCCATGGTTGCCCCTTGCGTCGGCCCACTCTGGTGAGCCTTCGGGGTGGGCATTCAAGTCCTGATGAGCCTTAACTTGGGAAAACCTGAGATCCGCGCGCCAGCCTATGGCACCTCGGGCTAGAATACCAATTCCTGCATATATGTTGCGACGAGAAGGTCCCGTGGCATAGAGGTCGATTATGCCTTGATACTCGACGGAAGTCTCTGTAATGTTGGGGGAGGAGGTGAGGGCAGCAAGCACGGCCAGTGCTCAGCAGCAGGAGAGGATTGGGAAATGGGGGCGGCCAACTTGGCCAGTCAGAGCGGCGATCACCTCGCCTTCGGCATTGGTTTTTTACCACTGCCCAGCCAGCCGTTTCAAACATGTTATTCCCTGGTTTCAGCGCGGAACCGTCCGAGGAGACCTTGTCAACCAGGGCAGAGGCAGGGTGGCCTGGGGATCCTCGGACCAAAGTTTCATGGGGCCGAGTCCGAGCCCAGCTGGGGCCCCGACACCGATATCAGGCTCGATATGAAAACCCGCGGCCAGCGGACAACTATTCGGGCTGGTCAAACTCTCAATGCCTTCTGCTGTGAGACGCTGTTGCCTGTGATGCTCGGTGAGGGGGCATCTCAGAAGACGGCGGGGTAGGTCATAAGAGGCTGCACCACAAAGACATTCTCCTGTGCGTTCATTGTACCCCGCTGCTTTCAGACCGCTCCGAGTCCATGCGGCGTGGCACGGGTAGGCCGTGAGGGCGCTGCGCTCAGCTGCCGATAACCTGGCGTGCCTCAGACATCACTGGGCCACCTCGCAGTTCCAACTCGGCCCCGCCGACGCCCATCTTCGCAGCTGCTGCTCTGGCTGGCTCGTCATCCCATGAGCGCAGGAGGGAGTCCTGGAGGAGGCTGGGCGAGGTGCGGGTGAGTTTGCACTGGTTACCTGCTGGGTCTTGAACGACGAAAGGGGAGAGGAAGGGCCACTGGATCCGCTCGAGGCTGCGGTGGGCTGCTCCCATCGGTCCACGGCAGCTGCTCCACGCCGTGGGCGGTCGCGCAAGCACCGCGTCCGCCGTCTGCCTCAAGCGCGGCAAGTTGAAACCAGGTGTTGCGGTGCCTGTGGCCGCGCGCCAGACGAGCTGAATCCAGAGAAGCATGGGGCCCACTGCAGGCCTCCAGCAGGGGTCTCCCAAGAGGCAGAGCGAACGGCTTCTAGAGCGAGTGGTAGTCACTGGGACCGCGATCTGGAGACACAGCGACTGCGACCTGCGATGCTCCACGCTATCGATCCCCACGACCTCCGACCCGTAGAAGTGCGCCTGCCCTAGACCTGTATTGTAGATCTGCTTGGTGTCTCCTTGGGCTCTCTTGAGGCTGGCCAGTCTTCTCGTCCTGGCTTGGAACTTCTGATGGCGGGCTCTCAGGGCCGACTTGTAAATCCCGCGGAGACGTATGCCACTTGGGCGGAAATCGATGCCGAGGTTGGGGGGCGCCGAGGCCTTCTTGATAGGGGGCCCGCGTACTTGCCTAGCTCATTCTCGAGGTCGTCCCGGATGTCCCTGGGGGAGGCGAGGACGGCCGATTTCTTGCCAGCGATCTGGCAATGCAAATCGTTGTTGGTACCGCCTAACAACTGGAAGCAGGCGTCGAGCAGCTGCTGCACCAGCTGCTTGCACGCGTGAAAGAAACTGCAACATAACGTCATTGATGAAGGGACTGAGCTGGATGCTTGGATGTGATATCAGCCACCACTGAAGAGGATGCTAGCAGTATATAGCTGTACCAAGTATGTTGCACACCCACATCCTGCTGACATGCCGTTCCCTGGGAAGCCGCAGTATTGAATTAGCTGGCTAAACGTGAGGTACCTGCTGGGTTGATATTGGTTTAGTATGACTGATGGCACCGCGGCGTTAAAGCTGCTGCTGCTGGCTCGCTGCTGAGGCTCCTCTCTGCTGATGTGCTCGTAGTAGTTCGACATATCCCATCATGCGGACGCCGCATGTAGCTTGCCATCTGCTAGGCAACCTTGCCCTGCGAGAGGGGGATGCTGACAACACAAGCTCTAGACTACTGCGGCCTGACGGGTGCGCCAGGAAGCTGCACGGGTCGCCTCGCTCCCATCTGCTGGCCTCGGATTGTCTCAATTTTGCCCAGGCGCGGCGTACCCTTGGAAGGGGACCGATGCCCTTGTACGCTGACCCGCTAGTGGCCTTGGGAATAGGATTCGCAATGATGGCCAGAACCTGGGAGGGCATCGTGCCAGGCTGCTCGACGCACGCCAGTAAGCCAATAAAGATCTGCAGCTGCCTGTCTGTCAGCAGCCCGAAGTGCTCGGGATGAGCTCCGTCCCAAGTTTGGCACGCTCGGTGATTGAAGGTCCTTGTGGGTTTTCTGAGAATGGCGGGCGTGGTAGTTGGCAGCCTGGACGCCGCTTCAGGGATTCTGGGAAGGGGGGTATCTTGCACCTTGCACGCTCCAGAGGCCCGACATTCT